TGACTTCTTAGTATATGCCTAAAACACAGTCTGTTACTCGTTAGGACGAATATCAGACACCCAAAGCGTCACCTCGCCAATTGGCATAGATGTGGACTGAGATTTATCATATAGCAATCACATACACCCAGCTCCCTTTAGGAATTTCATCAGACCGAGAACAAGCGTAATCACAAAACGGGTTGAATTCAACTTTTTCGTGTTATCTCTTCAGCTTTGTACAAACATTCATGTAAAATTTCGACCAGGACAATGACAAATCTTTAAACATCAAAATTATGCGATTAGGCGAAATCAATGCGAAGGTCAAAGGTCACTAGTCACGCTCTGGTTGAACAGGCGGAAAAGGTGGGGGAACATGCTTATCGATGTGAACCACGGTCGCAGCTCTACCATGGCAGGTTAAGGCTAGCTACAAAGTCTAGTAGTTTGTAAAGGTCTGGTTTGTGACGCCAAACGGTCACCCAATCTTCTGTTGCTTGCTTTGGATCGATGCGAAGTTTGCAGTCCAATATAAGGTGGGCAGTAGAGCTAGACGGAATCTTCGAGTCAGTGAGCGCTAAATTGCTCGGGACGTGCTCTGAAATCCGAGTGGCCAAGTGTCTCTCAGTTCTTCCGATATGCTTGCTTCCGCAAGTGTGGTCTAGTCTCTGTGTGATTGCCATATTTGACAATGTAATTTCGCGGATATCCGCTATTCTGTAATGCACAAGATACCATTTCAAGTGTTTCGGCAGACCAAATCTCTTCGCTCAAGAAAATAAGCCCTTTACCAGGGCTCGCTTATATCAGACAAAAGCTTCTGAATTTCGGATACTGTCCAGTTTGTCTGTGGAATGCAGATCTGATGAGATCCAACTTCCCTCCTCCTGAGTTTACCGTCCATGATTTTAGGGTGACACCAGTTCAAAGATCTTAGCATGTCTTTCACATGATCCTTGTATTTTACAACAACAAACGCGCCGTCAACATAACGCTTATAGAAAAAGATCTCGTGTGTTGATTGACGAATTTTTGTTTCTTCTAGATTTCCCATGAATATATCGGCTAACACTGGTCCCAGTGGGCTTCCCACTGCCACACCGTCAACTTGCCATCATTGAAACAAAACTACACATCTTTTTTCACAACAGCAGGAGTTTCTTGAGATGGTGGGGTGGTACACTGAGACTACTGACATGGGAACGCACAATATCAATGGTCTCTTCAAGAGGGACATTGGTGAATAATGAGCAGACGTCATACGATACCATCTGTTTCTTGGAACCATTTGTCTTCACAATTTCGTCCGAAAATCCAAATGAGTCCTACAATCTATGTGTGGTCAACCAACGTGCTAACTTTCAATGCGGTGCCCCAATCATAGAGTATCGGACGTGGTGGCATCCCCTCTTAGTGAACTTTTGGTAAACCGTACATTTGAGGCAGTCGCGAGCCACGCGGAAGAAGCTGGGTAACAGTGGACACATCTATGTGACCATTTTTGTTTGATCCGTGTAATTGAAAAGTTATTGATTATTCAGAGCTTACTGTCCACCTTTGATTCTAACGAGAACCTAATGGCGAGGCAGAGAGTAAAGCGACTTGGAGGAATATTTACTTAGATCGATTAGTCCTCCATCATTTTTACCAACGCAAATTCTAGTCTGCTTCCCCCCCCCAACTAGGATGAGCAGGAGAGTGGCCTTCATCTTATCTCTATCCTTTGACCTTCCAGGTATGATTGACAAACGCCATCTTTTGTAGCCCTTGTGTCATGAAAGTCCGAAGCGATGACATCCCATTAAGATGCACTGTCGTTTCGATGATAGTTAGGAGATGGAGAAAGACATTATTTCATACTGTCTATGGTTGGAGTACCCCAACAAAAGTAAGCACGATGGTAAGCCGAACTCATTCAACTAATTAAGCAAAAGTTTTCTAACTACATCCTGAAAGAGTCGTTTGATTTTGCTCAAAAACGTGATCTTTATGTTTCTCATAAACTCGTGGTTTCGTATGATGTCCATTCCTTATTCACTAATGTTCCTCTTCGTGAAACTGTGAACTAAACTGAACTGAAACTGTGATCGATGTGTCCTTATGCTGATGAACTCAATATTCCCGCACATAGTCTCGGAAATTATTGCTTCTACGTAATAAATATGTGCAGTTCTGTTTAAACGGATATTACTATCGTCATGTTAAAGGAGTTGCAATGGATGGTCCACTAGGACCGATCCCCAATGTTATCTTCATGGGAAACTTGGAGAATACGAAACTCTGACGTTGAATAAAAGACACGTACTCCCGTTATATGGATAACACGCTTGCCCTACTGAACGACGGTGCACACGCAGAAATAACGTATAGAAAACTCAACCACACATCCGAATTCACAGTGGAGCAGTAATCCGAATCTTCCTTCCAGTTCTTGGATGCCAGATTGATGAAAAAGAGGAAGAATCTCTCATCAGATCTGTACTTGGCTGGGACAGCATTTTAATTTTCGAAGTTTCTGTCCAGCACAATACAAACGATCGTGGATGCAGGGTTTGTTCTGTTTAGAGCCAGGATAATCTGCTCCAGTGAAACATTATCCGCGGCACTGCACGAAAACGGATACACTAGAAGGTTTATTGCAAAATATAGAGCGCCGTTGAATAAACCGGATTAGGGTAACAGCCTTGGAAACAGCTGTTTTTGTTACTATAGCGTTTAAAGATGGTTCAAATGATAGACAGATACATTGCAGGTTAAAACAAGCGATGGCAACAACGTACATTACTGCACGACACGAAGCGAATGCTTACTGAATTCAATCTAGATAAACCGGACTTTTCAGTTACCTGCCGTGTTTACCTATTTCAATATGTTTGCGGTATTAAGTACGTCGGAAGAACTGAGAGACGATCGTCTACCACGATAGGAGAACATGCATGGAGGAATTTTATACCTAACGCGTCCAAGCCTCCGTCCAGTTCAGTCGCCCAAGATTTGCTGGATTGCAAAGAATATGACAAACCTAGGGACGCCTTTCGTGTCTTGATCCACCAGAAGGGTGCAGAAGTCCTTGTAAAGAGGTATCTCTATTTGCCGTGTATAACGAATGCTTTCGTCGGAAATTCATGGGTGGTACTTCAGGCCTCAACTGTTCGGCGGTGGTTTGGTGATCGTTTGAGGAAATGGCATATCATTCTAGAAGGAAAAACACTCAGCCGACTCTTTCGTCGGAACTTTGAATGCGTTTTTCATCCCTGTAATTTCTGAATGAGGGCGGCGGTCTACAGTTTTTCAGTAAAACATCGCCATTATACATACAGCTCACGTTAGCAGAATGTAGTTACTGTATGAAAACCTCGATATTCACCGTGACCTTTTGCATTGTATTTTATTCTCAGTTAAGACGTTGATTGTTTACTCTCAAAGTACTAATACATCTGTTTTTTTTCTTGATTGTCCGCAGCACGACTCTTATCGATTTTTCCGGGGAAATCGTTTGGCCATGCGTTTCTCGTGTACCGTCCGGCCTAACACAGAGAATGACAGTAATAAGCAGCCTTGCTGTGTGTTTTACACCAGTGTGCTCAAATTTACTGATAAGCTGAGGGTAATTCACTTGCTTTTTTCCTGTTTTCACATGAATGATTGTGCATCGATCGAAGAAATACAAAACACCCTGTAGGCACAGTTGTTCGAGCCAATGCACAGTTAATTAGGTGCAAGAATAAGCCACATACTTTACAAGATCTGTGCGTGCCGGAGGCGAAGTGCCGTTCACGACTTCTTTGAATAACGCGAGATATGATTTTGAATGTTGTAGAATGATGAAGTGTTACAGAGTTTCACGGGAACGTCTAGGTAAATGTGTTATTGGGTATCCCCGGGATGATTACAAAGGAGTCGTACAGCCAACCATTCCAGTAGTGAAAGCTGCATATTTACGCATTTACGAGGATTGAGAGTTAGGTCGTGTAGTTCACCTCTCAGCAAGTTTTGAAAGACCGGGTTGAAGGGTGGAGGTTACCGATGCACCAGGATGGACGATTCCGACCAAAACTTCGTCTGTGTATTTGATAAGCAAGGGATTTTAAAAAGTTTGCATGGATGAATTATAAGTGATGAAAAAACGGGTACAGATTGGCACCCTATATTGCGCCAAGTATAGAGATTATGGGAGAGGAGAAACGACTAAGATAACGTGTTAACTGTGATGGACTCATGGAAGTCTGTGGGTACTGCAGTTATGGTATAAGATATGGCACTTGAAGACAAATTATTCAACAATTTAGACCTGTCAACATTATTGAATTCTTCGTTGTGATCCAAGAAACATTCTGTCAGCTCTCTTTTTTCCATCGAGTAATGATAGAATATAGTAGACGAAAGAAGCTTGGGAATCTAGTGTGGAGCGAGAGCGGCGGTCCGCGAATTGGTTAGGACCCTGCAAATTAGGCCCCCAGGAGGTTCCTTGAAAGGATGAATTCTGGAAAATCTTCAACACAAAAAACGTACATTCAATGGGACGGAATTTTTCAGTTTCTTTTTTACTCACCGTAGTGATAGAGACAAATATCCACAGGCGTAATTCCGTTTTCCAAACACTGAATAATTTATTTTCAACACACCTCTGAGGCCAGACTGTATGCAAACAAATCACGGTACAATAATCTTCATAAAAAGAAAAAGTTCATGATTTCAGTGTGGGTGGATTATCGTCAGTTTGCCCAGGCCAAGATAGGTGATTTTTCTTGGAAATTCACAGCCGGAGCCTTCTGCTAGCCGAAGCCTGATGCGCAAGGCAGAGGGGCGGTGGGTGAAAACTGCAATTCATTGGGGACCGGTATGTAGTTCATCGTTCGCTCTTTGAACACAGTTAAACGTCCGAAGTTCCCAATTGAGCCGGTGACCACTACCACAACCTGGAAAGTGTGTGTGGTTCGTACGCGCTGGTTAATCAAAGCTGCGAGCACTGGCAAAATCTATGAGCGCACTCCACCATGCCACGATCAGGTGATTTATTTTGTTGGGAATCAGTAATTCCTTCAGAACATCTTTTTGTTTAGTGAGAAGTTCTTTGCCGCTGAGATCAGTGTGTGTGTGTGTAACTTGTCGATGGGCAGCCTCTTCTCCCTGTTAGTGGTTCCTTTGTTGAATGTTCGCTCTAACCCCTCAACGTCTACTGTTTTTGGATACTCGATTGAGGATTCATCACTCAATTGCTTGATGGTGCTCCAGATCTCTCGGCAGTTCTTGTTGTGCAGGAGTTTGCGAATGTATATCCCGTTCAGGCTATTTAACTCGCTTTCGACTGCAAGCGATGAAAGTCCCACTCTTTGAAGATCTTTGTGTTTGTATGCCCTTTCCTTGCTTCGACGTAACTGTTTCAGATGAGGTGGCGAGATACAGTCACAGCAAACGTACAGGCTCCCAGGGAGGTTTATGCATAACTTATTCGGTGTGCGGGTCAAGCGGTTTAGGTTGATGTCATTGATGTTTTTGTTGCTTTTGACCTTGAGATCCAAGGTTCAAGCCGCGTCACCGCTGTTATTCCACTTTGGCGTTAAACCATTGCATTTCCGGCAGACTCAACATCATGCTGGTGCTACTAGGATCTAACGTGGTTCGCCATTCCAAGATATTCGCTGTTGGTTTCCATAGCTCCCACTACCGTTCATCACACAGTTATATCTTATTGTAAACCATTTTAATGGTCAACGAACAGAAACTTATATTTCGAGTTTGATCAGTTTTTAACAGTATGCCACCCGTCACAGTACCTCAGGAGTGAATCCACTATGAGAATTTGGTGCATAACCTATGGAATTGGTGTGGGTATCACATTTCTCATGATCCTTTTTATGGACCAGTTTCCGGAAAATAGAAATTGCTCTTACCGTTGACGTTGATGTCATATTTTCTCTATCCACGTGCTCTTTCATCAAGATGTGCCTGACTAAAGTGGCAAGACCTATTCGTCGTGGACGTCTTTTCCGCTATACCCCTCCACGGAAACCCACATTCGGACGACTGCTACAGTAAGTTGAATACATTAAGTTTTAGTAGACTTAGCAATCCGACGATATCGAGTACACAGGATTGCAAGAGGAACATTTAAACTAAAGTCAATTCGATGATTTTGTTTTGAAAACTAATTGAATGGTGCCAAATTGACCAGATTGTACAAACGCTTACATTCATGGCACCATGGTGCCTCCTAACTGTAGAGTTACCTCTCCTCAGAGTGTTCTGTGGATGACATTGTTCTAACCAGGGTGTTCATTACCTCAGAGCTGTCGACCATTCTTCCCATAGCAGAGCAGTCTTCAAATTGCACATTATTGAACTGGAATGATAAGCGCAATCAGATCGTCATTTTCTGTGTCGACAACCACTACGAACCTATGTATCGTGCATTGGAAATAGCTGAGTTGTCCTCTGTAACTCAATCGACACGGAATCTCGAAATGTTCGGTTTGGCACAGTACTTCTGAAATACTGAATTACCAGTCAGACGGTAATTATGGAAACAAGTCGTAGCACTAGTCACATATGAGATGATGATTGCTGTGAATCGAATAACAATGTCCTATGCCCAAATAAGATCAAATTATATATTGTTTGTTCAGGCTAAGTCTGGAATTCTGTCGGTTTCCTAATAATTATCATATTGTGTTGATAGAAGTGATCCACTTTTGTTAAGTTTGCTCAGCTCAGACTTACGGTAGTCTCACTGCATGTTTGTTGTCGCGCATGGAGGACTTCGTTAATTCCGACATTCGAATCATTTACAGTGAATTCGGACGCGGGTGCCAGGGTTTCGGTATCAGTATTTGAAACATGATTGTTTGCTTATTGAGCCTCGTGATGTGAGCGCGTTCTTGCGCAAACGAAAACAGTTCTCCAGTTGAATTAATCGATCTTCTAACTACCAAGGAAAGCTCAACCAATCGTAAAAGTTGTTTTTCAAAGCGTTCTGTAGTTCACTTCAGGACACATCGGTGATTAAAGCAGAGAAAACGATCCAGTGACACGTACGATGACATTTCCTTCCATCGTTATTTACTTCATTCGGCTAATCTATTCCGTTTTATCCGTTTATCTTGTAAAATATAATTTACCTTGTTCTTTTTATATTGCTGTCCTATTATTAGGGCTTTGGAATTTAATCTAAATCTGCCCCAACTGCAACTGTCCTACTGGGTCTCTTATGCCAAACGTACCGGCGTGCGTGTGACCACAGGCCCGGTGCAGTTAACCGCAATGCTCCGCTACACGATAGAACAGGAGAACAAAACCACGTTTGATTCGCGTCGCGCATCTGTGCTACAGCCTCATGTCATGCTTCCACCAGTCGGTGCTCGTTCGATTGCCGGAGCTTCGCTGGTGCGTCGCCCCTTTACCAATTGGACAGTGGTTCATTTGTCTTCCAGTCTACAAGATAGTCGTATTCAATTGCGACATCGTCCGGACCTACCGGGACAGGTGGTGCAAATGTTATTGCAGAGCGCCGGACTGTTAAAAGTAGGTGGGGGCATCTGTTTTACACGGATATCAGTCTGTACTTTTCTTAGTACTTGACTAAAGAAATTTACACAGAATCTTTATCGGAGGTATACGAGTACGGTTTATTTCATGGCTTTTCATTTTACTTGAAGAATTATTATAGACCTCACAACTTCCTCTCAGGATGCAGCATGGTATTTCATATGATGAAAGTCTGTTTCAGTCATTGTTTAAAATATATGCAATGCTTGGTACAGGAACAAACATCCTGAGATTGTTGACTAAATGTGGCATGGATGCCGACCGTTTATGTCACTCATGTTTACTATTTTTGGTTCTTCAGAAGAGATTGGTAATGTGCTTGTCCTTCGTTACATTGCATTCGGACCGTACCGCGTCGTCCAACTCGATTGGTAGGCGGATACTCTCTCCCCGGGCTCTATATTATTCATTTTATTGATGTTCTATATTGCACGTCCTCCCCAAACCCTTATCTCAAGTCCACGGTCCCTATAATCGAACCACGTTTTCTGTTGACCATAAACTTAATCCCGGTTACTTTATGTACTACCAAGGCGTGTTCATTACCTAGCCTGATTCAAATAGTCATTTGCGCATGAGGTGAAAGAGGGTGAAACTTTTTGCTATCAATTTCACTTTTCGTGCTCCAGAGCTGGAGTACGCAAGAGGCTAAAATTCAGTTAAGTGCACTAACTGGATTTCCATTGTTAACCATCCCCATTCCCGTCCGCTGTTTCACAGCGCAGGGTGCCCCCTCATTTGCTGACAGTAAGGAACCGAAATGAGTGCATCAATATCAGGTGAATTATTTCAAGGATTCTCATCATCGCACACTGAAATGCTGTAGATGAAGCTTCGCTGTTCCTTGGTCGTCAAGCCCACAACGCGTACAATTAAGTGTGGCTTCATGTGGTAAGGTACGATGAGGTCAAGGAAAAGTTCCCCTATGGATAGTGAATCCACACAGAAAGAGCACTTGAACTGGTTGGACACAGAATACAATAGGGGCATATTGGACAATTGAAAAGGAAACAATCAATGAATGCAGGTACAGATCAGTCGTTTTGGTGTAGTAGACCAAAACCCCTATCTGTTTCACGATCACTCCAAATGCTTTCCAATTCCTATCATAAACCCTAAACGGTTATATGTTTCCATGTGAACGTGTTATATAAGTTTCGATGTATCTTTGTGCAAATAATAGTTTTGAGGGCTATCAGGGGATCGGCTATTCGCCTTCAAAATGTTCAGCTACAAGCTGACTGACACCTGCATGCGCGCTGTTTTTGCTACTTGCCCAATTTGGAGTGCAAAGCTGTTTCTGCACCATGGGACAGAAAGGAGCGCGAAATAATGTGATACTGTTTAGACGGGATGTTAAATCCAAACGTCTATCCAGGCCAACGTTGAGTGACGCGCAACCTCAGTAGCCAAGTCCAAGTGTTTTCGAGGTTTATTCGACTCCAAACAATAGTGAATGATTATGCGATCCTCAAATCGTGGCTTTCCCAGGGGATATGCCTGGACTGGCTAAATGAACAGTGCCAATCGAGAACCCAAGTGCAAACGAGAGAGTTCACCACTCCGTCAAACGAACAAGTGGAAAAAAGTCAGAACGCATCTGTGCACACCAGGCAGTGCGACGCATGGGCGAGACAGTGGACCAATACGAATAAGATTAAGCAACTCTATACGATAATCATAGGGCAGCATGAGTCAGATCATATCAGGGTCAGGTATAGCGGTCACGAGCTGACGGGGAAGGGGGTGGAACCGTGTTTGGTGGGCGAGCGAAGAAATCGAATCATTCGTGGCAAACGATAAGTGCATATTTGGTGATCGATAATAAACACGAGTTAAAGCAATGACAAACGAGACGGGACCGAACAGCTTTGTTCGTGTGGAGAGTGCTAAACAGATTCAACACGTATTTGAATAATAACCTGTACACCTTTTCAACTTCAAGTGAATCCAACCAATAGCAATTCATTGGAAACCCCACAAGATTATTGGTGTTTGGGCCGTCAAATGTCACCCATTGGGCCGGGGCTGTCCAAACTCCGTTCAGTCCGAATGAACTCACTTCCCCGTAAACAAACAAAAGTACATTTTTAGTGAGGTTGAATGTTTCAGGAGGGAGGTGGGTGGGTCGAGGTGGGCCGTTCTCCCCCCACACCCGTTCCACCCGGGAACGTTATGTTCGTGATCGTTGATCGAGTGTGCGTCACAGA